TATTAATGAAATTATGCTTGTGACAGCGAATTGATTTTCTTTTCCTTAAAATGAAAAACGTAACGTCAACTTAACTGATTTAACGAATTACACTTAGGCCATGTTTGAATTTTTTTTCAAATTGGTTGCCCTCTCCCGAACGGCTGACTAAGATGGTCTGACTCAATACTTTTTTTACATTCCAGGACACAGTATTTTTTAAAACTGTTTTACTCTTATCCCCTCAACAAATATGTTTTAAATTTCTGGGAAAAACGTTTTTCCAATTGCCTACTGACCCAATAATCTTACAAGGGCAAGCAAACGTTATTTTGAAGATGCTCTTACATGTATAACGATTCAAACTTTTTGATTCGTCCCTTCGCTATAAGCATGTTCTGAACTTACTTTTGGCAAATGTCATGATTATTTTTTTCGGTAGTCAGTTAAAAGCCTTAATGATGGATTGTTCACACACTTTCAAAAACGGTGAGAAAGTCCCTGCATGGGGAAATAAAGTGATAAAACTTTTTTGAAAATATGAATAAGAACAACAACTTGAAGCTTAAGCATTAAAGTTACTCTTAGTTACTATGTGAGTATTGTGGTGAATATTGTGGTCCATGATCTTCGTTATTCAAAAGCAACTGAAATCATTTACAATGTTTGGCGTTATATCTCTATCAAAACTGCACTACTTAACTTTTATCTAAAAGCTGATCCATAATCTTCGTTATTCAAATTGAAACTATTTTTAAGTTTTGGTGTTGTATCACTTACAAATATGCACTAGTTGACTTGTATCTAATAGCATGAAAATGTTCTTCAACTTAAAACAAAAAATGCACATCTTGAATTTAATTTTGACATGAAGACAGTCCAGACGTTCAAAGTCATCGGTTGAGGAATAATCTATGGTAACTTTCGATAATGCTTGAAATATTCCTGATAAAACTTCCTGTCAAATATATTACTATATCAAATTTTACTCTCATTTTGAAATACATAAAAAAGCTGTAACTGTTATGGTTCTTGTCGTACATGTTACTGTCAAAATTAACAAATTTTTTACTTGAAAATCTCGTTCGCAAAATGGAAGACAATACTTCATACTGAACACAAAAAATTGTAGTAAATTGCATCATGATTTGGTAATTCTTCTTATTTACTTTATCTGGTATTGTATAACTACAGAACAGAAAGACTTTTGAACTTTCTCAAAAAGCAAATCAAACTTCAAGGTCAAGATTAAAAGGTCAGATTTGTTGGTATCCATAGGAGGGTCTTGTCATAAGAATTAAATCTGTGAAATGTGAAAGCCCTAGAACTCACAATTCTAAAGTTATGACCAAGATTAAACTTTTTTAAAAGTGGGTCAAAGTTTAAGGTCAAGGTCAAAAGGAAAAAAACCATACACCTTTAAAGGTACATGTATTGACACACTTAAAAAAACCTATATCAAGTATGAAAGCCCTAGCCCCACCTGTGATTAACTTAAGGCAAAAGTCAAATTTTGATAATTTTGGCAAAAGTGGGTCAAACTCCTAGGTCAATAGGCCAGGTTTGGTGGTAAGCAATAATAATTCATATCACATGAAATGCACCTGTAGAATAGTTAGAAAACCCATAGACTTACCCACTCAGAATTTATGGGCATGATTAAAACAGAAAACATGCAATAAATAATCAAGCTCAAAAAAAGAAATCCATCCTCTACCCCATTCAGAATCATATGCCCTCTTAATGGCATTTGCACAATCTGATAACGGAATACCGAATTTATGGCTTATGCATTCCAAAATCAAAACAATTTTTTTTCTTTTTTAAGCATTTTCCAACAGGTATTTACAAAACCAAACAGAAAACAGATTTTATAAGATATTTATTAGAAAGATGGTGAAAATTTAGAATGTTTTAGAATAAAGACGATCTAGCGTCAAAACCAAAGGGATTTAAAAACATTTTAAGGGAATACTGACAATACATATTTACATAAAACAATAGCAATACTTTACGGGGTAAATCCCCTCAAACACAATAAAAGCATTTATGACTTGAAACATCGGTAAGATACATGTAGCAAAAATATACAGGGTAAATTTCTTCTGAAAAGCTTAAGCAACAACACTGATGGTGAGATTTTACGGGTAAATTTCACCCCCCAAAAAATGATTGAAACAGTATTAATAACTAATTGCAACATCATAAGAATCTACAGAGTAAATTTCCTCTCAAAAAATTATATTGATACAGTAATTCAGGATCAAAGCTAAAGCAAAAAATCTTGATGATGGCAGGACTTTACGGAGTAACCCCCCACCCCAAAAAATAAATAAATCCCCTTGATACAGTATTGTTGACTAGCAATATTTAAAGATTATTATATCAGTCATATATAAAAGACGATATAAATATCTAACATTCCGATATAAATATACGAAAAGGATTATATAAACCTCTGAGAAGTCCAGATGAAGTAAAAACATGCAAATATTATTCTGTCATAAATTTTAAGGAAAAAAATATGTTTACAGTTGTTAAGATTGAATTCACAATAGATGTGGAAAGATGATAACGATAAGGATTTACTGCATAACATGTATACATGTAACTCTTGTAGCTGATCTTTAATATCTATAAAAATGATATTAAAAACCATATGCTGATCAACAATATATAAATATTGCGTGTTGTTGAGTATAACTCAACTTCCCAGCAGGCACACAACGTTGTTTAAACGTTGAATATTAGTTGAAGTTGGGTTTAGACGTTGATAAATCTAGATACAATATTGATTCAACGTTGACTTTTCAACGTTGAAAATTTAACGTTGAATCAACATTGAATTCAAATTGAGTTGAATTGCCAACATTGATTCAACGTCGGATCTTCGCTGAGCGGGCCAATCCTATTTTTCGCTGATATATATTTTGGACTATGATAGTGTTGGACTATAACAATGTCGGACCATAACGAGGTAGGACTTGACAAAGTCGCACTACCGTATATCATTCCTAACTTTTATAACTAACAAGGATGGTAAATATAGAAATTTTACACAATCAATGATAAATATGAATTCAGTACGAATTTGCCAAAGTACGAATTAAGAGGTTACGCAGTAGGACATCCGAAAAATATTCAAAAAGACAGCATATCACAAACCTCAGGACTCAACACCAAGATTTTAAAAAAAAATACTCTTTAAAGAAAACATTTCCGCATGTCAGAGTACTAGTATCATTGAAGAGACATAATTTGTCGAAATGCATATCTGGTGCATCAAAAGTTGCATCTTACCTTGGAATGGTTTCATGTATTGGGCTATTTCATGATCACATGTGAAAATACAAAACGTTTGTAAATGCTCGAGTTTTGTAACATGATTAATTTATAAAATGTATTTTGGTGAAAATTATTGTAACACAATTAACTATTGATAGGAAATTAAATACTTACTGTTTACAATATATAATTTTTTTCATATAGAGATATACCGTATGTTTTCATTTAAGGGGTCCCGACTCTCTGCTATAAATTTCACCTTAGAAAGTTTTAAATTTGTTATATTGATTTTCATAAACAACAATAACATTAGAGCCACATCGAAAATAGTCTGAAGTATACAGCGCTGAAGAAATGAAGAAATTTAACACAGAGATTTGAAAGAGTGACGATTTATTACCACATTAAATATAATACATGAGGTGCATATGAAAATAATACTTACTATTATAGCTATTTAAATCATGTTCGAAAACATCATGAAGCGATGTTTCCTAGGTCAGAAAATCACAATGTTGTATGTGGTTGTAAGAAAAAAATATATATCTGTAATGAGGAGTTATCTTTCTTCTAAATATTTCTCCATGTGAAAAAAAAAATCATTCTTATTAAAGTACTGTATTAAGTACTTGAAATATTAAACCATTTTTAAAATGAGACCTAAAAAGATACAACTTATTCAATTTATGTGGCATTTGATTTTGGATTTAAATGTTTTATTGTTAAATAATATAAAACAATTACAAAGAAATTTGCAAAAGAAATAGAAAGTAATGTTTCCATCAAATGTTTGATCTTATCAAATTGACCATTCAGAGGTCTCAAAAACTGATAAAGAAATCTTTGACTGGACTTTTACGAGGAACGCTGACTTTTACAGTTGACGCTTACGTTTACACTAGGGCTATGTACGGTAGCTCCTTTACGATATAAATATTTAGCTCAACACTTATTTAACGGAAATAACGGGTTATTTCAATGCACATATAAGTTGTCCTTAAAGTAAACGACAACGACCTACCCTCAGCTCCCAGTCTTCACATGTTAGTACCCCTAACACCATACCTATGACCACAAGAAAGGTTTTCTTATGCATTATCAATTCTGTATTTCCGTACATGATACAAGTTTAAATGTCCAAGTAAACTTCAACTGTAGAAGTCAGTGCTTCTCGTAAAAGTCCAATAGTATTACTATTTATTAGAGGGTCGCTATTCCTTCAGCAATTATGAAGGCATCTTAGCAACCGTGCAATAAAATGATTCAAATTTTAAGGAAGTATGTTAATACTATATGACACCCCCCCCCCCTTCTAAAAGAAATAATTGAATAAATGTTGAATCAACTGTTTTTCAACATTTAATCAACGTTGATTATCAATGTTGATTCAATGTTAAGACTTCAACGTTGATACAAAGTTTCAAAATCTAACATAAAATCAATGTTGAATCTACATAGAAAAACAACGTTGATTCAAAGTTTATTCAATGTTGTGTGCCTGCTGGGTTAACACATGCAATATTTATTATATCATTCAGCGGGTAGTAGTGTTTTTAATAAATGTTTTTCGACGAATCAGATTCAATTTATTTAGATGAAAGTATATTTATATATTTTAATTATTTCTGTGACTCTGAAGATTCCCATTCTCTTCGTTTTCGACCCAGATATAAGAATCACCAATTTCTCTTAGTTTACGAGTGTAATACCTGTTATAATGCTAAAACGAAACCAGATTTTCTGGGGACCGGTATTTCCCTTTAACTGACAAAGCACAGACCGCCATTTGTAGAGAGATTATAAGAAACCCAATAGTGTTACATGTATGTATTATTGTGTATATATCTGTATCACCTTTAATCTTCTGTCAGTTGCTACTACCAATTTTGATTTTCTTCTTGTATGTTTTTCTCATTACTTGTATATGCCCTGATGGGCCCCAAATTGGTATCAATAAATCTTATCTTATATATTTTATTAAAGTCTAACGGATGTGTTCCATTTTTCAAAAAAATAGAATGGACCACAATCCCCGTCTATCAGTATCAGAGGTCCTGTATGTTGGTCTGTGTCGTAAGATAGGGACACCGACAGAAGTGGCCATCAGAAGGGACGTGATGGACATGCATGAGATGATAGAGAAACCTGTTTATAATCATAGAGGAATTGCTGTGATGAAGAGTGGTAGTTATAGAGAAGGATTTAGGTTGAGATCATCTGACATAGATACAATGTTCTGGCATTATAATTATAAATTAATAACTGACATCTCCCAGTCTCGGTTTTATAATACAACAGAACATGTTATTTTGCTCATGGAAGATTCTGATACACCGCCAGGATTTGTCAGATTAAGTCTCCTGACACCAACAAAACACGAAATCACGATATCTTGTCTTGTTCTCTTTAATGGTTCTGCTTATATATCTAGTCGTCTGTGGAGAGAAATGCATTTTCAACTGCAAAATAAGGTACATATAAAAAAGGAAAATTTAAGACTACACGGTCCTTGTAGTAGTGGATTCCATGGGTCAATTGAATTCGACCTAGCTCATTGTTTAGCCACTTTTCCTTGGCCTAAACTATTAGGAAGTTGGGTTGACAGATGTCAGAGACACACCTGGCCACCGGTACCTGTGTTAGAAATAATCCTTAAAAATGAATGTCACTGTGTGCCTATTGGTAGTAAAGTTAATGTGACTTCTAACGAATTGGAATGGAGATTATCATTTTCTCAAGCCGAGCAACAACTAGTGTGTACCATGAATCATACACAATTTCTATGTTACGGACTCCTGAAAATATTTCTGAAGGAAATTATCAATTGTAGGGAGAATGAATTACTGTGTTCATATTACATGAAGACCACAATGTTCTGGATGATGCAATCAGGACAAGTTACATGGTGCCCGACGAATTTACTAGATTGCTTTTGGAATTGTTTAAAATATCTTATTCATTGTGTTTACTGTGGAGTTTTTCCTAATTTTTTCATTCCACAGAACAACATGTTTAGAAACAAAGTTGTTGGTGTTACACGTAAATCTCTTTTACGACAACTTCATCTTTATTACAGAATGGGCGTGTCCTGTCTACTGCTTAGTCCGACTCTCAGATCAATCCTAGAATCAGCCCTCAGTAGCCCGTCCATTGTGTTATCCGCTGCTGAGGGAAAATTCTTGAGTTTAGTAGATTTAGATATTTGTGGAATAAATGAATTATGTAATTTAAATTTTCCTGCTCAAAAAATATGGCAATTTTATATTTATTTAAAATCAATTAACACACTATCTCGATTATCACTCTCATCATACCAGTTATTAACATTACAGTACTGTACTGCTGAATCTCTTGTTCATTTAGCCTTCATAATGACAAACAGTGCATCATGTTACACACATAAAAATATCTATTACATAGATACAATTATATGTGGTATGTTGAAAATGGCAGCAATACTTGGTCCTGTGTCTGATTTACTTTATCTGGCATTGTATTACTATAGAACAGAAAGATATGATAAAACACTTCATATCACTTGTATCACTAAAGAAAGACTATCGCAGACCTGTATTATGTATAATGAAACTGTTGATAGGCAGAAGTACAATGAAGCTGTAGGTAATTTGTCTTTGTCTAGAAGAATGAAGATAGCCTGGGTGAATGATGTGCGTTTATTAAAAACTATACCCTTTCTTGAAGAACTATGTATAGAACAGTTTGTGAGTCAACATAATGGAGAGACACTCTTAATTGTATCACCGTTTGTTGTGGTAGAGATGCTCTCTGTGTTATCTCACCATAGACTGGGTAATAGAACTCAGTGTTTACAGTCACTGACAGACCTACAGACACTGCTACTCTATGATGACGGGAGATATGCTCCTTTATTCACCAGAGACCTATCCTGGCAGATACTAGGAATCTGTCAACATGCTGTGGGAGACTTACAAGGGGCTTTAGAGTCTTTTGAAGAGTCACTCAAACAGGAACCATATCACAAAATAAAAGAAGCCACAGATTTCAGAATAGAATGTGTTAAACAACAAATACAAAGAAATGTACACATGTGAAATATGTTTTACAATGTTCCTATCGTAATTTAAAGAGTTGTACGAGTAGATCAGGAATTGAAGCATCACTTGTTTGATATAATTGTAAAGGACACAGATAAAACGTCACTGTATGATGATAATATACCTTCAACTTAAAGTAGAGATGAATTTAAATCTCTATTATATGTTTATAATTTATATTTGAATGCATCTTCAAAATAAAATGCTGTAAAACTACAAAGGAATTGTGTATCCACATCAACTGAACGTTTTCTCCATTATTTCTTCTAATAACCTCTTCCATTAATCTTAACTTTGTAATGATGGAAACTCTTTAAAAATTCTGGCAATTCATTTCATATTTGCTAACCGTAAATTGTAGATTTCTATAATGTTCGGGGGGGGTTGTCGTCGAGATATACAAAACATTGATTTGACGTAATCCTAACTATACTGTTTATTTCATGTGCATATTTAAATACATATAAATAATCTGGAGTTAATCAATGCAGGACTTTAAAACAAGGATGACAATTTCTAGAACAAAAACAGTCGATATTCTGTTCATTGATGATATTTTTTTATAATTAATCACCTAAAGTTTTTCTTTTGTGAAGTAAAATTCTGTAAAACCACAACAAAAATTTAAGTGGATTACATCTAGATCATTTAAAACAGAAGTCAGCACTACTGATTTGTACTTACATGTTTTACAAACTGAAAGGAAGAAACAAGAGGCCTATGAGCCACATCGCTCACTTGAGTAACACTGGTCATACTGTTTTATTTACCAGATTTCCCCTTTGTAATACATATTGTACCCCACCTTACCCCATCGTCATGATGTGGAAAATTTAGAATATATACTATCTCAGGATGCTTCCATAATTATAAGTTTCAGCTTCTCTTTCCCGGTGTTTCTTAAGAAGATTTTTTTTCATATATAATTCAATGTAAAACTTCGATTTACTATTGTGACCCCGCACTACCCTCATGATTCATCGATTGAACGATTTATCATCTAGACAACCCCTGGATGCTTCCACCTAAGTTTAAGTTTTATTGGCCCATTGATTCTTGAGAAGAAGAATGTAACGATTTTTCCTGAACATTTTAATGTAAAATTGGATTCCCTATTGTGGGCCCGCCCTAACCCAGGGGATCATGATTTGAACAATTTGGAATCTACAAAAGCCGCAAATGAATCCAACTTTGTTACAACGCACTTTGAAAAAAATACGGACTTTGAAACAAAATTGAAAGTGCGTTAAGATTTGGACCATGTCAACGCACTTTGAAACAAGAGGCCCAGGGGCCTCATTGCTCACCTAAGCACATCGGCTAGGAAAAAACACATCAGATCAGACCTGAAAGTTTACGGAGGTGAGGGGGGTGGGGGCTTCAATTTTAATACTATTTGAGAATGCCTTCATATCAATACAGCATATGACTTTGCCTTTGCTGTTATTGATAAAAAGATTTCTTTTTTAAACATTTTGTTCCTATATATTATTTCGTAATAATTTGAATTTGATTCCCCATTGTTTCCCTCCCTATCCTAAAGGGCCATGATTTGAACAAATTTAAATCTTCAATACATGAGGATGTTTACATAACAATAAGACTACACGTAGCTTTTCTGTTCTTGGGATTTTCCCCTTTATTTTTCTGTGTAAAACATTGATCCACCATTGTGGCCCCACCCTACCCTTCCGGTTTTCGGGTTATGATTTGAACAAATTTAATTCTACACTACCTGAGAATGATTCCATGTAAATACTAGTACCACTAATCATGGCTTTGCTATTCTTGATAAGAAGACTTTTTAAATATATTTTAATGTAAAACTTGGATCCCCCATTGTGGCCCCATCCTATCCCTGGGGGTTGTGATTTGAACAAACTAGAATCTACACTACCTGAGGATGATTCCATATAAATATCTCTAATCATGGCTTTGAAGTACTTAAGAAGATGATTTTAAAGATTTCCCTATTATTCCTACGTAAAACTTTGATCAGCCATTTTAGCCCCACCCTCTCCCCAGGGGTCATAATTTGAACAAACTAGAATCTACACTACCCGTGGATGATTCCATATAAATATCTCTAATCATGGTTTAAAAGTACTAGAAAAGAAGATTTTAAAAGTTTTCCGTACATATTCCTATGTAAAACTTTGATCAGTCATTTTGGTCCCACCCTACCCCTGGGGGTCATGATTTAAATAAACTTGAATCTACACTACATGAGGATGGTTCCACATGAGTTTCATCTTTCCTGTCGCAATGGTTCTTGAGAAGAAAATTTTTACTGATTTTTCCTATGTAAAACTTTGATCAGCCATTTTGGCCCCAACTACTCCAAAGGGTCATGATGTGAACAAATTTGAATCTACACTACCTGAGGATAATTTCACATAACTTTCATCTTTCCTGGCTCAGTGGTTCTTGAGAAGAAATTTTTTACAGATTTTTCATATATATTCCTATTTAAAACTTTGATTGGCCATTTTGGCTCCACCTACCCCCAGGGGTCATGATTTGAACAAACTTGAATCTACACTACCTGAGGATGATTTCACATGAGTTTCATCTTTCCTGGCACAGTGGTTCTTGAGAAGAATTTTTTTTTTTTAATTTTCCTATATATTCCTTTGCTATACCCTTATAAATATCATTCTATATATTTATTACTTATTTTCACTTTCAGGTCCAACAAATCATATGTAGCCCTCATACCCAGTCAATAACTGTATAATGTAAAACTTTGATCGGCAATTTTGGCCCCACACTACTCCCAGGGGTCATGATTTGAACAAACTTGAATCTTCACTACCTGAGGATAATTTCACATGAGTTTCATCTTTCCTGGCCCAGTGGTTCTTGAGAAGATCATTTAAAAATGCCTTTTTCTCTAATTCATGATTATCTCCCCTTGGAAAATGGCGTGGCCCTTTGTTTGAATAAACTTGAATCCCCTTCACCCAAGGATACTTTGTGGCAAGTTTGGTTGAAATTGGTTCAGTGATTCTTGAGAAGAAGATGAAAATGTGAAAAGTTTACGACGACAAAGACAACGACAGACAACAGACAAATTATAATCAGAAAAGCTCACTTGAGCCTTTGGCTCAGGGTGAGCTAAGAATAAAATGTCTTTTCAAAGTGCGTTAATAACGACCATGTTAACGCACTTTGAAAAAAATGTTTACAGCTTGGTCAATATTTTTTGCAATATTTAGGTATGATAAATAATTGAACCTGTTGGATAACTTTTCGGTGATAACATCAGGATGTGAGATACAGACGTTTTGAATATTTTAGGCTCTCTTAAATATTATAAAAGGAAAATGGGTTCTTTGAAGATTATGGAGAAATTATCGTTTAAAAGCATACTTTCGCTTTTGATTTTTCAATACTTTGAAAATTCTTTCTCTCATATGTGTTTTACTTTATTTAATTTTTAGCTCTACTGGTCAGAGACCAGAAGAGCTTATGAGATAGTAATGTGTCCGGCGTCCGTCTGTCTGTCTGTAAACAATTTTTCAAAACACTACTCCTCCTAGAGTTTTGGTGTGATTTCAATATAACTTGGCATATACGTAGACTGCCTAAGATACATAATTCTGTGTATCGGTTTTTGATTTCGATGAACGGTGTTGCCATGGTTTCTAGAAATAGAATTTTTGATGAAATATTTTCAAAATGCTACTCCTCCTACAGTTTTGGTCTGATTTCAACACAACTATGAACACAAGTAGACTACACTAAGATACATAATTCTCTTTTTATATCATTATAATAGTAACTTGATCTAAAGTGTCGTATCATGTCGAGTTGACAGGCGCGGATCATCAGATCTAATATACAGAATTACATGCATGTATCTTTAATAATGTATCGTTTTGTGTGCCACATTAAATTCAAATCAGATAAAAACTGTAGGAGGAACAGCATTTTCAAACATTGTTTGCAGACAAACAAAAAGACAGACAGATAGCTAGACGGAAGAACAGACAATGGATACCTTGCTATCCAATTAGCTCTTTTGTTTCTGGCCTGCAAAGCTAAAAACAAATACGAAATAAATGAAATAAGCTTCATTTTTTATTTTTAGTCACACACATCACATTATAATCGTTCTCCCTTTGAAAGCAGCAGTTTAGATTTGTTCCTTCTGTATTTAAATGAATTCCCCATCCTTTTTCTATGGAAAGCATGGGCCTCCCTCAACATCGGGGGTCTCTGAAAAATCCCAAGAGCCCCTGGGGTGTAAACTCTCAGTGTCACGTCTATGTCTATCTCAAATCCTCGAGCCATTCCAATCACCGACACCCAACCTAAAAATGGATTTTATATTGCATAAGAAATATTGTGAATTTTAAAATCTCTTTGTTTCTATATCATCTAATATTTGATTATTTCCATTTCTCTGTTTTCTCTGTGATACTGATAACTCTTTGAAAGTTAATGGATTTGATTTTTTGATCATTCTTCCAGCATGTAAATTTCGACAAGCAATACATCGGGAGCTAAGGAGGCCTAATGTGCATGTAAATTTTGTGTGTTTGTCTTTCTGACATAAGAGGACTTGTGCAAATTTTAATTTATTAGACAACATTTTTATAATCTAAATTTTACAATTTTATTTCACAATGAAATGGAAATATAGAGAATCACTGTCCAGTTAAAGAGTATACCAGGGTCATCAAGGATAATTGGAAATGCTTTGCGCATCATGCAATATCCAATGTTTATAGCTATCCTAGATGCCCTAGCATATTCCACTAACTAGACAGTGATTCCTTAAATATGTTCCAAAAATGTTATCATTATTTAACAAAGGAAAATTTACTGCATGAGTGACTTCTTTACGGACTTTTTATAGATTAAATAGGTTTACTGCATCTCAACAGCCAATACCATTCATAAATCTTGCAAAATGAAGTTATGAATCACATAACAAACCTAAAGAGGAGAGCTGTAGGTCAAGGGCAGCCAATTTCTGAGGGTGGTCCTGGAGGTGGATCCGAATATCTTCACTCTTCAGTGGTGGAAGCTTTGTTAGCCTTGATTCATCACCAAGAGGAACCTGCAACAGAACATCTACATGTATGAATATGACATATCATGCATATACAGTAAAACTCAGTACGAACACAGATATTGCAAATTCACGGATATAGCAAAGTTATCTTGGATCCCCAGGTGTATAAATTAAACAATTTCTTATATGGATAAAACAAATTACGGATATAGCAAAGTAATTTCATAAGTCCCAGTGACTTCGTTATAACCCAGTTTTACTGGTTTTGACATTTTTTACAGGAGATACATCTGATTTTACCCAATATTAAAATACCATTGATAAATTCCTGATTCTCTTGACATTTTTAATTCTGAGATACCTACCCCCAGTATATTTGTCCCAATGTTGTTGTGGTAGAACTCTTCTGCTTCATGACTAGGCAGCACAAACACAGGAAGCTTAGAACTGATGAAAATCACCAACATGACATCCTGGTTTCCCTGTAACCAAACTAAATGTTAATTTGTTCTAATTATCCGGATTTTTGTGGAAAGTAAATATTAAATTGTATTTTGAAAAACTGTGCAAGAATTAAGTATTTTCTTAGATTTACAAAATTAACATCCTTTTTTGTGGGGGGTGGCTGTTAATTATCTTAAAAAGAAATATATAACACATTAGTTACTTAAAAATTACATTTTGAAGACTATGGCAGTATGATTAAAAAATCAAAGAAGAAAAAAGGCTGGTTTAATGTTTAGTAAATTAATTAGCTATTTGTAATTAGTACCTCTACAAAGTCAATCCTCCCTAGTCCGGTGATGAACACTGTATGGTCAGGTTTTAGTAAGTAACAATGGGGGACAATCTTACGCGTAGGGATGATGAGCTTCAGTTCCTCAGGTGTCAGCTCTGTGTGGACCTACAGTAAGCAGGAACATATCCTCTAAATCAGAGTGATCTTCCTATATACAGTTCTTTATATACAGTGGACCTTCAACTTGTCTATATTCTCTATGTAGGACGAGAACGAAATTTTTAAATGTTATTCTGTCTTGTTTAACTGGTGATTCAGATATCTTCTTCACAAAGTTTGATAAATAACATGTACTGTGAAATACATCTTCACAATTTCTCTACCTAGGAGAGGATTTAATAAGTTGAAAGAACTTCTGCATCATTAAGTTTAAAATAACGTGTACTGTGAATACCATCTTCACAATTTTCTTTAGAAAATAAGTCTCTTAAAATATGGGAAACTATCTTCTTAGTTTTACATGAATCAGAAAGGAATGTAAAATGCTGAAAATTTGATGGACCAAAATGAATGCAAGTCACAAGATAAAATTTTTATGCTTTGCATTATATCATTATACCCATACTTATAAGTACATGTATAAGACATCAAACAAATTATATAGAATTTTATTATTTCACTGAAGATTCTTTCACCTGATTGTCACACAAAAGACCAGGTGTATCACACAGGAATCTGGAATCTGTAAAATCTGTCTCGTCATACTTCTCCGGAGTTTCCATGATGAACTCTTTCCCATCATTGCTTCGTACTTGGTCCCCTTTGTATTCATACGCCACAAGGTCAAATCCCGAATACAGAGCCCTTTTCTCTGCATCATTTGTAAAATCTGTTTTCTCTACTTTTCCTACAAAGCAATAAATTTAGTTTGATAAAAATGACTCCCCTCCAAATAAAAACTATTCACAAACAGCTATTGATTTCAATTATGCTACTTTCAGGTTGCCTTTATAATCATAAAATGTTCTAAAAAGCAGGGCATCTTTAAACATTAATGTGTGACATGTGCATATACATATATCTTTGTCTTACACAATTATATCTGAAGGTTTATGCAATTCCTTACTTTAGAAGACAAGATGTGTTTGTAAAACACTGATGCCCCCAAATGGCAGCTTCATATATGGCAAAGATTTTAGTTTCACAAACGCAAGTCAAACTCAAAGGTCAAAATTGCTGGTATCCAAAGTAGGGGTTGGTCATAAAGAATAAACCTGTGAAATATGAAATGCCTTGGACTAACTGTTCAAACGTTATCACCAAGGTTAAATATATTTATAAAAGTTATGATAAAACATGTTTGTTATGTATGCAGTTTAAGGCCATTGGTAAAGGAGATCGATTTTAGTCATTTGAAATTGGCTGCTACATTGCAACAAACTAGCCCACCCACCCACTTCTTCCAGTATCCATATTTCTTACATGTTGTTGTTTTTAATGTTGACTTGTCACTTTATTTGAATTTTTTCCTTTTGTACAAGGATATGGAATTCAGAAGTTAAACGAAAGACTGTGCTTTGTATATTGTATACACTTAATTAAAGTCTGTTGCACTCGCGCATGCGAGCTCATCCTATAGAAAGTGTTTTTGAGTTTTATTTATAATAATTTATGTTGGTTTAAACTGGTGAATTTAGAACATAATGTTTTTAAAAGCGAGTTTAAAGTCAAGGTCAAAAGGTCAATAATATCTATACCCATTAAAAGGTCTTATTTTTCACAATAAATACAAATGTGAAGTATGATTGCCATATCACCAACTATTTAAAAGTTATGATGCAGGTTTAAGTTTGTTTTTGTTTTCATTTTGTAAAAGTGGCTCAAACTAAATTACTTAAAGGTGATATCCAAAGAAAGGTCTTGTCACAAGGAATACACCTGTGAAATATGATAGCAATAACCTCGCCAACTCAAATATTATGGGCAAGGTAAAAGATTTTGCAGACTAACATACAGACAGACAAAAACTATAAACCCCCGAATATTTTAGCAAGTCGTTGTTTCTGCTGATGTCCTAAATATGTGGAATGGTTATACATGTACTGTAGACTTACTTTTTTACCACGTGGTCATATTTTCGCTGTCTCAATATCTGTTTAATTCGCTGGTAGAAAATTACACAGATTTCTTAAACTGTCACTATATGCCTTATATTTATATTATGTACGCTTGGACATATTTTCGCGGAAAATTTGTGGCCGCGTACATAGCGTAAATTATTACCATGCGGAAAAAAAGTACTTCTACAGTAAATGATGACATCATTACCATGTAGAGTGGTTATAAACTGATGATGTCATTACCATGTAAAGTGGTTATAACTGAGGATGCAACTAATTTCTTTTGTTTCTTGATTTCCTCTTTCATCTTCTTGTGTCGTAAAATCTCTTTTGCCTGAGTTTCCATGAGTCTTTTTTGTCTCATTTTCATCAACCAGTTTGTTTTAGAATTCATGATGGGAAACTTCAGAATGTTGATGGTTGTTCCTGAATAAGAGATTAATATTACATAAAGCATATATATCAATGAGTAATCATTCATTTTAATTAAAAAATTTCAACATTGATGATTCTACGGTTTTTTTAGTCACTTGCGTGGTACAGTGGTAAGAGTGACTGCTTGAGTGTTGCAGAGTAAGGAGTATTCTCTTTAGAGAAGTGGACAGGCTTTCGCCTACATGCCTGGATGTAGGCGAAAGCCTGTCCACTTCTCTAAAGAGAATAAGTAAGGAGGTGATTCTCACATCATGGGTTTTGATCCCACTGTGGGACTTGGAGACCAGTCTTTCAGTAGAAACCATATAAACCAGGTCCTGTGTCACAGTAGGAGCTGGCACGAAAAAGATCTCTCACTGCTAAATGGACATGAGTGTATAGTATAGGACAAAATTTGTAGCTCTCCACACCCAAATGGTGGCTTCTCCATGATGAGTGAAAATTTCTCAAGAGTGTACATTTAACAACATTCAAACAAACATCTTGTTGTAAATGCAACTTCTAAGAAACAAATAATATTTTAACAGAGCTTTAAATTATTTATTTTTTATCAATGTATACTATAACATTGATTCTTGACTAGGGAGAGGTAAAACCATGTTCACAAACATTCCAGTTATGTACCTCAGTGGCAATGATCTTTGGTGCTTCTTTTTCTACCTATTCACTTTTTTCCCTTCAAAATAAAAATTAACTCTGCATATATTTAATGTTATGTATTAATCAATCATGGTATGATTCTGTACCTGGCCAGACAGATACAGAGGCTTTGGGGATGACGTCTCGGACTTTATAGTAACAGTAGTCGGAATGAAGCAAACTGTTGTACAGAGTCGACTTCCCACTGTTGGCAGTGCCAATCATGTACACATTGCCTGAAGAAGAAGAAGCAAAACATATCATTAACAATTTTAACAACAATTTACAACTGTATGATTACTGGCCATAACTTACCGGTTTGAGTAGTAATTTACTGGTATCCTAATGCTAAAACAGGGTTCTCCATCATTTGAGATTTTACTGTGTTGCAAAGTTTACGCCAAGCACTAATATTTCGCGCTATTTTCGTGAACAAATTCGCAACTGAATCACAATTTTTACAATTACAAAATATTACAAGCACACACGTACTTAAAATCGTTAACTCGTTACACAAATGGTATGGTCGTACATACTGATAAAAGGGAAAAAACGTTCTGAAAGCAAAGGAAATTCTGACCGATAGTCGATCTACTTAACATTTTTGAAATTAGATCTGCCGTGTTTATTTATCAGATTTCATGATCGAGTTACCGCATTACAAAAAAGGAACTTCAGAACAGTAAAATATTTTAAAGAGTTCCTTGAACATGCTGAAATTTCAAAATTTTCGGCAATTTATTTACATCAATTAAATGACTTCGGCACAATGTTGTTTGACTTACAGTGCTTTCATAATTCTAGAGCCGTGATTCTATAGGACAGACATATTTAAATATTTTTCATAAATAATACAATGTATTTTATTGCAACTACCAATTAACCGGTACATAGAATTGTAAAAACATTTTTTTCTCTTTGTTCTGTCATGCGTAAAGTCCGGCGAAGGTCCAGAAGAAAATTGATTGATTACTCAAGGTGAAGCCCTACTAATTAAGTGTTATAACTTTTTCAATTGAAAGACGCTAGAATATTTGTGTCTTTAGATTTTCTAAATATCACAACTCTTACTGTGTCGGCAAAAATTTTACTGTGTCGCATGCATGAAATTTGAATCGTTACTGTGTCGGAGAAAATTTTACTGCGTCGGGAGCAACACAGTAAAACAGCTCATGGAGAACCCTGCTTAAAGTTACAACATGGTAAAAAATAATTTACAATTCAATTTTTTTTTTAAAATTTAAACCTTACCTCTCATACCCCAATTCGCAAGAAGTGATGATATTAATTTTTCTACTCCATATCCAGTCTTAGCACTGATCAAAGAAACCTCTTTCACATTATGTCTATTGAGACCTCGTTTCTTGCAGGCAGTTATGAGCGTCTCCTCTACAGCTTCTAAATAATTAGGCTGATCCTGAGGAATTATATCAACTTTGTTTCCTATCACATGAATGGTTGTCCTTTCGGTTAACATCTGTGAGAAAATGTCTGGAATGCTGTTTTCAATATCGAACAAATCAATCACTAACAATACCAAACACCTTTCAGAACTGATCTTTCTCATTATTTCATAAACCTTCTCATCACTTGCTCTAATGTCAAACACCATACCTTGATGTTGCATTTTGTGACATTTCTGACATTTGGATTCTTTCAATTCTTCCATTGTTAAATTTTTGAACACCTCGCTCGGCAAATATCCTGGTATCGTCACATCCTGACAGTGGAGCAAGGCACCACACCCCCCACATTGAACACTACTCATTTCTATGGACTTATCTGGTGTTCCCGACAAGGACTTTTTCTTGGACAATCCTTTTGCGATTTCTTCACTTCCAATTTTATCAGCATCTGTCTCTTGTCTTATCACATTCAGATCCTTTGTTAATTCAGATATTTTCTTGTTAAGCTCTGAAATAGTCTCAAAATGTGAAGCTTGTTCGCTTTCTGTTTCATTCGAGACAGGAGAGTTTAAACTCAAATCAACAAAAGCTGGTTTAACAGTTAATTCGTTTTTAATGTGGTTTACAGCATAATTTTTCCTTTTTCTATATTTCGCATTAGAAAATCTCTTAGAGTATGTCAAAGGGAATAGTCTTTCCATGTTTGAAACATATTGCAATGACAAAGATTTTGCAGCTAATAGCTTCCTGCAAAACATGTTTGATACAAAAATGAAAATAAATCAATACTTTCTTCTGCAAAAGTCAAAACAAAACATGCTTGCCTGAGAGTTCTCAGCGTAAATTCAAAGCTATCATTTACAACTGACAGACTCATCCTTTACAAACACACACAAGATTTTGATTTTGCATTGGGTAAATGTAGTACACCAAAGGGTGTGATTCCAATCGCAACTCTTCGAGCCTTTACTTCTAGCAGAAAAAACCTCTGACGCATATCCTGTGATGATGCAATTAGGTGTGAATATAAAATTATTTTGTAATTTAAGATACATACATACATTTATATTTACATTAATCTTTCCCAATTTTTTAGATAAATGATTCTATCTGTCAAAAATCTGCGAAAGTGTACTTGCTTTGGGCTGGACCCCCCTCTTCAATGATTAAAAATATCTGTTGTATGTCTTTATTTCTTTATTTTAATGTGTCTATGATTTAAGATTCGGTGTATATTGTTTTTGCCCTGATTTATCATCTGTCTGTCTTTTCAACTTCAAAAAAAACTTTAACCTTTGATTATAATTACATTTACTTTGATTATATTTCACATTATATTGATGTATTCTTTTTGACAAGACCTTGTACAAGACAAGAAAACGTCTGATCAGTTGATGCTAACGTCGCTTTAATACATTTCATTAAGACTTATCTTGCAATGGATACAGAAATATTTTCTCCTGCTTTTCTTGACTTCAGAGTTTGGTAAACGCAATCTTTAAAAACAAAATTAGGCCATATAACATTTGAATAGTTATTACTAGGGCTTTCAAAATTCATAAGTTTATTTCTTGTGACAAGAACTTACTTTGGATAACAGCGATTTTTATCCTTTGACCGTATCCTTGGCCTTTGAAAACTTTAACCTTGGACATAACTTTGGAAAATTATCTTAGTTAGTGTTACGGCTTTTATATTTCACATGTGCGATATTTCCTTTAACAAGGCCACCCTCTAGGTATCATTAACGTTGAGCCTTTCAATTCACCTTCACCTTATATAATTTCACCCACTTAAAAAAATAACCTTGACCACAGCCGGATATTTAAAGGTTAGTATTTGGGCGACCATACCCCATAGGTACAGTGTATGTTCATCGAGACAAGTCTTTTCTTTTGGTAACAACTTTTTTTAACTCGACCTTGTAGTTTGATTTGCAGTTGAGAAACTTAAAACTTCATCATAAGCTGTCAAAAGGGGACATCACTGTTTCTTAAACATCTTGTTATGCCCACGGAATCGGGGGTATATAGTTTTTATCCTCTTTGTCCGTCTGTTTGTTTGTCCACAAAAAACTGTAACCTTGCTCATAACTAATTTTGAATCATATTTTACAAGTATATGTCTTGCAATTGTGAAAAGACCTTTTTGGGGTACCACGAAATTTGACCTCTTGATCTTAGTGTTTTTGACCCAATTTTACCCCCCAAAAATTATCACAATTTAACTTTGGCCATAATTATAACTTTTGATCAGTTGGTGATAGGGCTTTCAAACTTCACCTCTGTATTCACTGTGAGAAGACTTTTCAGTGGGTACAAATATTTTTGACCTTTTGAACTTGACCTTAGAGTTTGAACTTAAACTTTTGATCAGTCAGAAGTAGGGCTTTCATTCTTCACATGTGTATTCCTTTTGACGTGACATCACCTTCCTTTGGGTACCAAAAATTTGACTTTTGACCTTGACCTTTTGAGAAAATTCAACTCTTGTCACAGCTGCCGTGCGTGCTGGGGTAGAGTTTCACAAACACATCATTTTCTCTTACCACTTTATCTTGATGTCCCCGTTTAAAATTCATGACATTAAAATTCAGATTCTAATAATTAATATTTACAACCCCTCTATATTACCGGTAACCATACCTTTATATTATAAAGAAGAAACGGATCTTAAAACACTGTTAAAAGAATTAACATCCGTCTCTTAATTAAAAGTGATTTTCTGTGGCAAGAAACACACAGTGGTACAAACACACTGAAAACATATATCAATACAAACCCTATATTCCTTAAGAGGCCCTTCTTATGTACATGTAAAAGTTATGCAAATAAAAGGCCAAAAATATCGTTATAATTGAAAATTACAAGACGATATTATGTTCAGAATGTAATGGTTCTGGTGGGTATTGAAATTATACATCGCAGCGCCATTTGAAAACAAACAATTGGGATAGGTTTTTGATAGCATTCTTGTGTGTAAAAACAAAACATCAACGCCAATAATTTAATTATTCATTCCTAAATTTACTGTTCAAGAAACACACATCTATAGGATGAGAGGGAACTTCAAGGGGCAATGGAATGAAATATTCAGGTCTTTCGTAATTACGAAAGGAAAAGTGAAATGGTGAGTTTCAATATCTAATGAAAAATATTGATGAATTTAAGTAACGATGCCGGTCGGATATACATGACTGTACTCACAATCTAGGCTATAGAGGAATAATTAAGTGACTTTCTATTCCTTTAACATTTTTTAAATTGCTACCGATTAAATAAAGCAAAAAAAATAGCATGATGTGAAACATGGATACCCCCGTATGGCAGCTTACAGCAAAGATTTAAGTGTTTCAAGTTCAAATCAAACTTTCAGGTCAAGAATGACAAAAACAGAACAAAAATTAAAGTTGTTACCCGCCAGCAAAAGAAAAGACTTGTAAATGTATTTGTGGAAACACAAACACCAACATGCAGTTGAAATGTTTTTGCCAAGTTTAAGTTTTTCAAAAGTAGGTCAACTTACAAGGTCAAGGTTCAAATGTTGGCAAGTGAAGGAATGTCATTTTACATTGAAAACATCTTTGAAAAATATATATATGAAAGCACTGGTTCTTAATTCTAAGACTTCATGATAGCCAATGTTAAAGTAAAGTTTTTAAATAGTGTGTCAATATCTAAGGGCAAGGTCAGTTGTAAAAAAAAAAAAAAAAAAAAAACATATATACATCCAAGGAAAGATTTTGTCAAAATAAAGACACCTGTGAAGTATGAAAGCCCTAGAACTAACTATTCAAAAGAAACTGAGAAACTTCTTGTCAAAAGAAATGTACTCGTGAAATACGGGTATGTATGGCACGCCAAATTCACAAAAATGAGATAAACATAGTTTCACAGTCCTAGGTTTATCAAAAGTTTACGAAAAAGATAGTTAACAACGTTAATCTATATTTTGCATCTGTAAACCATAGTTAACGCGATAATCTATGTTTCACAACCGTAAACTATACTTAACACTGAAAACAATCATTTGCGATTGCAAAACATAGATTATCTGATAAATACAAATTAAAATATACAAACCGTTAACTTAGTTAACGATCTGATAAATGTGTGTTTGTGAAACTATGATTAACAACTCTTAACTACAGTTTACGATTGTAAACTATAATAGTTTACAAACGTGAATTTATGTTTATCAACAAAATCTATTGTTAACGCTTATTACAGCCAGATAAACTTAGATTATCATTCGTAAACTATAGTTAACATCCGTTAAATATAGTTTTACAGATGAAAACTGTACTTAACGAATCGTTAACTATACTGTACGGTTTGTAAACTATAGTTTACAGTTGATAAACCTGGTTTATTTTAAAATTGTGAAACTAGGTTTATCTCATTTTTGTGAATTTGGCGCGCCATAGGTATGAGAACAATATGTCTCTAACCAATCAAAAGTAAAGCCGAACAATGTTAAAGTTTTTTGCGCACAAACAGATAAATAGTCATGCAGCTATACAGATAGAAGAACGAACGTGCCAAATGAAATTAAAATAATGCGTGTTTGCCCTCTCCCATCATCTCAAGCCACGGTTTAGACATAGCCCTCTTCTACCCGCTAGAATGGGAGAGGATCGTTCATTTTGGCCGTGGCTTTTGACGATGGCCCTCTCCCAACCCATGGTAAAATTATTGGGTAGGTTGGATGGACCCCCCCCCCCATCCCTCTAAATCGACGAATTCAGTGGAATAAAAAGATAACATATAAAAATTCTGTTGCAAAAGCTAAATTAGCTTCGGATACATATTTCATCTAGGAACTAAAGCACTGTTAATTGATAACTTTTGATCTAAAAATCAAAATTTCTTTAGGGAGAATTCAAAACTTTCTTGACACACAACTAGATAGGTGGGGACAACAGTTTCTAAGGAAACCAACTGAAAACCACTTCTATAAATATTTGATATAATTTAACTCTGAAAATTTGGAAGGAGGGGAGAGGGGGCCGAACCCACTCATCCTTACTATAATCCACACATGAAAAAAATATATGATCTTTCAAATCCTTTTTACATTAAAATATATAAGACATATAATACACTTTTTTATTTAAAGTCAGAAACCAGCCACCACCACCACCACCAAAAACACACTTTTTGTTGCTGTACAGGGTTAAACATCAGCAAATTTCTGTGTGTTTTTAAAAGTCTTTTAAGATATTTCTCATTTTAAGTTTCATTTTAGTGAGATGGACATAATTATCTGTGTTTCAATAGACTTTTGAAAAACTATTGCTGCCTCAAATCTCTCACATTTCATACCCATTTTATACATTTCAGGGGGGGGGGGTATGGACAGGGACCTAATATATAGGTCCCTGTACTTTCGAACTTTTCGACCTAAAGAAAATTTATTTAGATATATTTTAATACACAATTAAACATAGGGTAAAATTGTTGTCATTTATCGTACAGCATCATATACCAGCCCCAAAAAATTTTTTTCCATGGTTATTGAGTGAAAAACTTCTATTGCTGCCTCAAATCTCTCACATTTCATACCCATTTCAAACATATATGTTCACCAGGGGGGGGGTCCATCCTTTTCTCATGCTTTAGTATATACATTTTTTATCGTTGTCATTTATCATACAGTATTATATATCAGTCCATTGTGTTAATATTTGGTCTGGCAGGTGAACTGGTGCGGAAAAAATTTCGATATACCCTGTATCGCTTACGAATCTGCGTCTCTAGTCCGTAAAATAGCTCGCAATTTGGCTGTTCCATTAATTGTCGTTAAATGCATATTTACCTGCAAGCTTTGAAGCAAGTAGGACATTTAAAT